CTGATTATACCTATGCTATGTGAAATGTTAACTATCGTCAAAAGAATATGGGGAGGCACAAAACACTGAATATTAGAACCTAAAATTACAGAGCTAAGTACATACAGACCGGACGACCAACCTACTAGACACATAGGGAGTAATAAGACGAATCAGCTTCTAGCCGAGCTGCCGAAGCCGGGTATAGCCGAGCTGCCGAAGATGCACGAATTTTAATAACATGCAGTGGCATGGGTAATATGGGTATCAGTCAACTATGGGTCTAGTAGCCTGGTCCTTTCTGTATATTAAAATCATCCAACACTCAAAGAGACGAGAACGACATTGTTTTGTGTCACGGTCATGTTGTGTGTCATCACATTATCTTGGCGTTTTATACCCATTGAAATTTCGAGGATCCAAAGTGAGGGGAAGGGTCATTATTCTAACGCTCCGAAAGGATCGACAAAGTATTTTTCTTGGTACCTCAGTTCAGCAAGTATTCAGCCAGCTCGTTTCTATACGACAAATACCCAGATGCATGATCCCAAACAATCAGACTAGCCATCACATTATGGAAACCGGCATAGTAGGCAGTTTAGTTTCAATCCAGATTACGCAACACAACCTGGCAGTCTGCGAAGCCAACTCTCCACACGTATAGTATCCGCCAGAGATATTTGAGATTCGTACAAAAAAGTATGTTTATATTATCAGCCGTCCTGCATTTAGTCAGGGAGCACGTGTCAGGAACCGCTTATTGAGTACAAGATTATATTGGTTTGAAATTATTCGGTCTAAATTGTTGTAAATAATGTTTAAAATTATTTGCAATTTTTTTAAAAGATTTTACAAATATTTAATGCAAGAAATTGAGTACTTAATCGTTATGTGTAAATTATTTGTAAGACTCTAATTTCGATTCGTCGTCTTTCTCAATTTTATTATACATATGTCAAGTCTCTTTGAGATATAGATTATTTTTTCCAATCTTACTGGAGTCTGAGGCCAATACATTCATAAATTATAAAGGTTAATTTCCATTTCACTCGTTACATTAAACTTTTCTTACTCTATAATAAATTAATTCCACCAAAAATGCTAGCAAAGCAAACAAATGCGCAATCAGAAGCGAGAAAAAACATGGAGCTAAAAATGAAAGTCGAACTTTATAAAATCTTGGCGTAAAATAGAGCTTTCTTATATTTTTATAACTGAACCGTCTATTCAAAACGTAGATCCCAGCAGCGTTTAAGTTTCCCAAAATTCGATCAATTTGAGGTAAAAAGGGAGAACCATAAAAAACTGGAAAGGTCGTCCAAGCTGGCATAAGATTTTCCTTTAATATCACTTGACACTTTTTATTTGCAATAAACAGTTTCATCATAATGTCCCATGCTATTGACTTTTTTAAAATAATTCCAAAAGATCCGCAATCATGATGACCAGTTACTAAGGAATAGATTCTTTGATTCGTTTCTATTTCAAACCTTGTAGTATTTAGTGCTGTGAAAACGTGTTTATCCAAAACATTCCTAAGTATATTTCTAAATCCTTCTGACACTTTTATTTTAAACGAACTCTTTTTTATCAAGTCTTTAATAGTTCTTATTGTTAAAGGATTTGTTGGTATAGTTAAGTTTGTGGTTAATCGAGAATTCCACGCAGCATTTAAAAATAGAAACAATACTATACAGGAAGCAAATATTAGTCTCAGCTGCCTCAGTTTTTTTTTCATTTGTGGAATACTCTGAGCTCCAACGATAGAAATAAATAATATACCAATTTCGGTAGTCGAAAGCTTACGTTCGAAAAGTTTTAATGCTATAATAAAAACAAAACCTAATGTTACTGTAAACAAATTCAGCACATCGCTACTTTGAAGTTTCAAGAAACGATTTTGATCGTAATCAAAAGGGATTAAGGCCACGATGTTTTCTTGGTAACGGGGATAGGTGTATTCGACCTAAAATTGAAAATAATTATTGGTAATTATCACAGACATTTGAAAGTTTTTGCAACTGAGTAAATTTGAAATTATATTAGCAATGGGGAGGTTTAGTAGAGGCTCCACCTAACTCTACAGGTTACCCCTTCTATAGATAACGTGATTTTTTTTGAAACAGCAACACAGAACTATCGCAAATAAGTTCAGCTACTCAATAAAATTAATTTTCCTCAAACCTAAAATATCTAGATTTATGCGACTAGTTGATTTATGCTTTTTTTGTAAATTGCTTTTCATTAGCTTTCTAGATATTCTTACCAGCCTTTCCATTTTCAAATTTTGCAATTGATAAGTGAGGAATCTCCCATTACATCCCATATTAGTTACACCATTAGATACATCCCGTAAAAGACCGGTGATAGGAAGTTCGTCGCTACCAAGACCATCACCGTCGGTGTCTTCCAAGTAGATTGCTGTTGAAGAAAGTAGAAGCATGGAACACTTAGTAATGAACTGCTACATTATTTAAAAAGATTACAACCCAGCCAACATTCTAGGAACTTAGTTGCTTACGTCTAGAGCGCATCTGTTCTGGGGAAATTTATTCCATTAAATTTATTTTATTCGAGAAAACAAGATAACTATCTAGATAAATGCGGAGTCTACTTGTAAACAGCGCGTAGTTGGATGTTATTTTGAATGATGAGTAATAAAGCTAAAACGTTCAGCCTGTCTTCTAACATGGAGGGTTGAAGCGTCTTTTTGATAAACTCCAATTTTGAAAATAATCTTTCTCCACTGCTGTTCGTGATCCTTGAGTGACAGGTATAATATTCTCAAAGCAATCTCAATATCAGAATCACACAACCTTTAACATTTTTTTCTAAAATAAGTTTTATACATTCACCCTCTTGATCTTTTTATTATCCTCGTCTTTCTCTTCAAATTCATGGTAATAGATCTTGAATTGAATCAGTTCATTTCTCGATTGATCCTCTAAGTCATTGTTACATGAAAATTGAAATGCATCTTTTGCTTTGTGGCCTTGGTGATGAATGTGTCACTCACGGTTTCTAAATGGAACACTCTACCATATCCGTTTATGGGTTTGTTTTCCGATGTCGAAATCAGTTATGAAGTAATTATTGTTGTATCACTCTCGGTTCCCAAAGGAGTTTCTGAAATTTTATAGAAAATCCGTTTGTGAACTTGTTTTTTCCAATTTCAAGTCTCTCAAACTGATTAAAAACGCGCTTTTATATTCGACATCACAGTCCGGATCTATCGAGAAACACGTGTTTATCGAATATAATAGAATTCTGCGCTCCAGACGTAAACAAGTAAATTCGTAGAACCCAGGCCGGGCTCTCGAAGCAATTTCGTAACAATACCTACCATGAATTGCAATTCTCGGATAACCTGTGATAAACCTCATTACCTGTGCATTTACTTTTGATTCGTTACCTGTTGCGTTCATAGATTTCATCACCAAATCAGTCATCTGTTTTTCGACTCCATCATAAGAATTTCCAATTTTTCTCGCATTATATGTTTCCGTTATTGAAACATTAACCTTATAGCCATTTAGGTTGGTGAAGTAATTCGGAAACATATTTGTACAATTTTTCTTTTTAGTCAAGGTATTATCGAACGGATTATTCCCATATACATTACGTATTTTACTAAACTGTGATACGTCAACTGATATTAGAACTATATTAATTGTTTTGTAGTTGGTTTCTAGGTAGAAATATTTAAATATATCCGACACATTATAGTGACTTTCCAAATCGCTATAAAAAAGAACTAATTTATGTCGAAAGTTCAAAAATCCAGGTCGGAGAAGTGTTTGCAATATCATTGTATAATTCGAATCATAAAAAAAGTACACATTTCTATCCAAGCTGTCCTCTTGGTGCGGTCGAGCTAAATCGTTTTGGTGAAAACTTGGGAGTCTCAGTTTATTTAAAATTTCCGCCAGATTATTTTGTCCGTGATTTGACAGACTTCTTGAAAAAATGCCTGATCGAATATCATATTCATTTATGAGAGTTTCTATGCAATTTTCTAAATCATCACTTGCAGGAAATACCATAAGATTTAAACCTACGCTTGCAGAATAACGAATAAGAAAGTTTTGAAATATGTAATAAAGTAATAAATACATTTCAGGCAAATATTGAGGATAGCGAGCCAACTAAATTCAAAAAGTTTGTATTTTTATAGATATAACTGGCATATGTAGAGACATATTGTACTTTTAAGAAAAGTATAGGCTTGAAACAAACAAAAAATATAAAACGTTACCTAAAAAAATTTAGTTAGTCCATAAACCTATTTAGAAATTAATTTCAGGAATCTAACACATTGCTAATGGAACATCCATCAATTTTTTAACCCCGTTGGCGAGAAAATTACAGTCAGAAATAATGTTTTACGATTAGGTATTTTTGTTGTAACACATCATTATCTATAGTAAGTTGTTAGTAACGTAATTTATAGTAAAAGAAGACCAGGAAACCTACTGGGTGACCGTTACATTTCGCAAAATTCTCGATTTTCTCAGATAACGTAATTTATACTTAGGACCATTTGTACAATCTTGGTTCAAAACACAGTTCAGCTGAACTCGACTGGTACTTGAACTTCCCCATTTGAAATGCATTGCCGTCAAAATTGAAAGAATTTTGATTAATAGCTGACAGCAATGCATTTTAAATAGGAAAGTTCAAGTACCAGTCGAGTTCAGTTGAACTTTGTTTTGAACCAAGATTGTACAACTGGGCCTTAGTCGCCCTTCTGAAGCCGAAATAGTTTGTAAGTCAGTCAGTTTCAATATAAGAGAATTGTACTTCAAGTGAGCGCGATTAGAAATTATGGAATTTGTTTAAGTCAATTAGTTGAATAAATGTTGTTACTAAAGAAAGTTTTAAAGGACACGCGGAATTCGTGACAATTTGTTGTCAGAAGTGATTTGACAAACAATTCAAAGGCACATTTGAGAAGCACTAGAGTTATCGATGTTACAAGTGCGCAGTTAAAGTACTTTTCATGTAGTTCTGTGTTATTTGGGGAAAAATATTAACAACTCAACAAGTTTCAATTTGTTTAATAATACAAAATAGAACTGGTAAATCACTACAAAATTGCAAAGGTTTTTTATTTCAGACCCAATAAACAAAACAGCCATTCTAAATTTACAAAAATAATAATAATACTGTGTCTTCACAACCAATAAAGACTTCTATCATCTCTTCTCACTTGAAGCATTGTAAGGTGACGATAAACCTTGAGTGCTGGACCAAGCCGTAAATTTAATTTGGTCAAAACGTCGATTCTTCTCATCAGAAGAAAGCTACGACCATCGATATCCTTTAAAAAAAAAATAAGAGAAGTTACAACTCAATGGCCAATGCGATTAACAAACCTGTTCCTTGAAAACTTTAGCTTCATCTTCCTTTAGAAATTGTCTAAAGTATTGATAAAGATCATGGGGTGTCCAATTCCTAGCATCTGGTATGGAAGGATCTATCTCTGGACCTGGATTTCGAATCGGTATTTCTGGACTTCCACTTTCACTGTGCCTATCAGAATTTGCATTTTCATTATCTGAATCCTTGTCGCTGATTGAATCAGATTGTGGTTCTTTTTTGGGAGACTTTGGTTCTCTTTTGGGAGACTTTGGTTCTCTTTTGGGAGATTTTGATTTTCTTTTGGGAGATTTTGATTTGGGATGGGAACTTAATACTGGAGGTAAAGGAATATTTGGTGGATTATTGTTGGGCAAAAAGGATTTTGGACGAATTTTCAATTGCAAACCTGGTGATACATCAGTGTCTTTGACTGCACATGAAAATTAAAATAAAAAAGTATGCATTAAATTGATAGCATGAAATATATGGAACTATGAAGGTTCTGGGTGAGAAATAAAGTTCGCGGTTTGGACTACCTACCATTGTCTTGGCCTATTGAGTCATTTCATTTTTCAATAAACCCCGAATATCTCTGAACTTTATTATAAATAGCCTCATAGTGCCAAAAGGACCAGTTACACGAGATTTGAAACAAATTATCAATAAACACTTCTTAAAACCAAAACAAGTACTTGTACATAGTATATTCAACTCAAAAACCTAAAATACCAGTTATTACAATGGAAAACCAGATACCTCCCAGAGGTGTTATAAGATAGATGGAAGACTGTCATAGTTTAGGTCCCACAGAGCAGAAGTCAAATTAAAATTGAGGCATGTCCTCCAAATGGGACATTGTATCTTGTAACAGAGGAAATATTGAAAGCAATATGTATGTATGTAATGTATACAATAATTACGTAAAAAACGAACTATTTTAAAGCTAGATCACAAGAAAGAAGGAAACCCAATCTCCGCTAGAAACGCCCATCAAATATAATTGTTAATGGTAGAAGCAAGCTATGTATGATTCTGGAAAAAATTCTGAATCTGACAAGGCGACGCTTCTAGATGTTGTGGGTGTTAGAAGAGAGACCCTGAAGATTCAGATAGGGGCAGGTCATCCCACTCAGGTGGAAGGTCAAAGTTTAGTCAAGTGAAACATTGATAGAATTATTTAAAAAACCGATAATATCCTGGAAAACCCTAGAACCCAGATAGAAAGAAGTCTGCTCACCATTTTCTTTGGTGTTTGTTATTTTGAAGTTAAAAGACTCGCCAATATTAGCTTGAACAGCATCGGGTCTCATTTCTTCAGTTGCTTGGCAATTATTGCACAACCATTTTTGTCCTTTCTCAAGCTTTTCGGTGATTTCGGGTTGGTGGCAAGTAGCATGGTAGGCATCAGCACAAACTGCGCACACAATCAAATTTCTCTAATGGAAAAAAAAAACATTTTTTTTTTGTGAGATTGTTACAAACTACTTACCGCCTTTGATGTTTCAAAACATGTAACACACGTTTTGCAATGTGGACACGTCCAGGAGTTATTTGGATTCAATTTTTGCATCATGTCATCGCTATTGAGGCACTCATAATGAGCTGAAAATTATTTATTTTCAAATCACACATTGTCATTTTATCCAACTTTTTGATAAAATTATTAGACCAATAATATTTCAATATCACCTTTATTGCTGCATTCCCTACAGCCTACCATCCTATCATGTGGCCCCCTTTTACTCTGAGTGTGGCATACAGAACAAACTCCACCTTGATCTTTAGAAGATCCAGCAGATGAGAGGGAATCAGCTCTAGAGTCTTCATCGGCTTTTGGTTTTTTATTGAAAGTATTCCTGGTTGATGGGGTGCCTGGTCTGCCACGTTTTTTTGGGATTTGTATGTCGGACGGATCGAATACCTTTTTTGCTTTCTGCAAAAAATATGTTCATTGATTGGGAATTGTTATGTTAAAAGTTCTTTCCTTAGCCAAGATATGGTCAATTTATTTGGACTGTATGTGTTAGTTTGAATTGTTTTACGGATAATGCTGTACGTTTGGTTTTTGACTTTAACACCTGGAAACAAATCGCAAACATATCACACTTCAATACGGGGAAGGGAAGCCATAGAAATCGAGAAATCGGGGTAGATCAACAAACGAGACAAGTCAACAAAGCCAAAGTTTATTATCCGAAAATCGATCCTGGCGGTTCGTAGTGGAACACCCTGATAAAATGAAAATTTAATTGCCATTAATGCCCCCTTCAAGTCTTCACAGAAGTCTAACGCAACTCTTGAGCTTCTCTCTGGACACAAAAAATCCTGGCAATGTGAGCAACATGCCACCACAACCTTGAGAAAAAACATCTAATTGTTATTGTTAGTGTTTGCTAGTAAAAAAAAAATATTTGCATTATACAATATTCACTTGAAGGCTTGTTAGTATTTTTCTTTTACAAAAATAATTAGGCTTCCTGTTGAAAAGCTAAAGGGTTAGAAAACATGTAAAAATTACTAAGATGTTTCTTGCTGACATGGTTCATTTACCTCCAAGCAACCAAAAAGCAGAGCAGGGGTTGTATTTTCGAATTCATTCGAGTACATTCCGTACACGAAATTTGATTGACACCAATGTAAATTAAATGGGGAGCATTCGAAATTGTATCAAATTTCGTATGCAAGAAAATTCGAAAATACGAACCGAGATCAGAAATTGAAGCTATGAATGCACACATCTTGCTAATTACATCAGATGATGTGAAAATCTATTTAAAAAAAATTAAATATTTTCAATAATACATTGACAGAAGACAAACATATGTATATCCACCTGCACTCTATTTTTGAGGACATCAATAATTATTTTTCGACCTATTTTATTAATAATATAAATGAAAATCAATTGTTATGCCGAAATTGTATATTATAATAATAAAATATATTCTCAAATTACTTAATAAATTTTCATTTACATTTACATCTATCCGGGAAGTCAATGATATTTTGAATAAAATTAAAACTAACATATTGGGAGTGGATATTTCTCTATAAATATGATTAATTAGGTACTCAAGACGAATTATTAGTAAATATATTGTTCATATTATAAACACCTCTATAGAAAGACAATATTTTTCCATACCTATGGAACATTGCTTTAGGAAAACCTCTTCCAAAAAATAATAATCCCGAGAATAATCCAAAAGAATTTTCAGATCCTAGGATTATAGGAATATTACCAAAACGCTCAAAAATCTAGTTCAATGATTATTTCAGTGAAAGCAAAATATTGCCAGATGTGCAGTGCAGATTTAGAAAAGAGTAAAAACCTATAAGTTGTATAAGTTGTTGTATATATTTCAGACTTAAAACAGTTAGATCCCAGATACATCGGCTACATCCTACAACTCATCTGAATACTTATTCTAGAGTGACTAGATTCAATGAAAACTATGTGACGCCAAGTTTTTAAAAAGCTTTACTTTCCAGGCAATCTCATAAATACAATTATTTTCCACATGCTTTCAAAAGGTTTAATTAACACTAAAATATTTGAATATAAATTAGAGGCCTAGTTTAGGTCTGTTTAAGTGCAATGCTTTATGTTTAATTGTTTAAAGCAACTATGACATGTATTAGGGGATGTGTTTTGATGGTTCTTCTTATGTTCCATTTATTACATTATTTTTCTATATACCGTATTTCAATTTTCTGCTACTTGTGCTGTTTAGTTTACGGGTCAAGTATGAATAGACCTCATCACTACTCAGTGCATGTGCTGATTTAAGTAATAGATAATTAACTTTACATTTTATAAATATACATTTTATTTATTACTAATAAAAGCTGTTATTTATTTATTTATTTATATCAGTCAAAATTTACAAGTAGGATATATCCTCTAATTTTTGGTTAGGTAGGTACCTATACTTAAATACGATTGTAGTTTACATTGAGTTCATGAACTGCTAGTCTGATTTTATGAGGTTTATTGTATACAAACTGAGACAATCAAACTGAGAAGAACTCAAATACCTACCTGAAATGGAAATGCAAAGCAGGAATGAGCAAATAGACTTCTGGAATGTTATTCAAGCCTAAAAAATTACTAGCTCTTAAAATTGAAAATCTATTACTACTCAGGCCTAGACAAAATATTGGCATAGTGATAAGTATGACTGAAACTTACCCCTTTAGCTTTTCCCATAATTTTAATGTTGAGGCAGTTGCCTTACGGATCAGCTGATAGCCGATGGAAAGAGAAAGGCAATGCAACAACAGAGGAACTATGGAGAGTTATTGCACAGGAAAAGAGAGTTGTCAGAAAAGCAGTAGAGACTTCTCTGTCTCGCAAAAAGATAGCGACTGGATTATTGGCACCATCCAGATATTTTTTTCATCGAAATAATATGATCAATTTTTAGACTCAGAAAGTGACCCTCCAAATTTCATTTTTGAACATGTGGATAACTAGTAAGATCGTGTGGCAATATATAATGATTGAAATTAACTGGCTAAAATCTAGCCAAAAAATGAGCTTTTGGGGCGGTGGAGGTGTTACCAAAATAGCCTTAAATTTATTGACAGAGATTTATGGTAATTTTTTAGTTAAAAATGTTCATTGTAAACGTACTAAAACAATAAATCTGAAAAAAAGTTTGTTAGTTGCAAAAATGTTCCCTCGCTATTAAAGAAAAGCAACAACAAATCTGGCTAAGCGCCTAACGGTCGAATTTATAGTTGGTCCTTCGGGTTTCCTCAAAACCTCAAGGAAACCTTGGACGTTTAGAATTGACATGACAAGCTTGCTAAATGGTAAAATTTGTTCATTCTAAACTAAGGACCTCCAAAGAAGTCTCAAGGAACAACTATAAATTTGGCCCTACAGCCATGAGACGCCGGCATTAAGATATTTTATTAAACAGTAATGTTTACCTTTGTGAAGACCATTGTGATGAGAAGTATTTGAATTTCAAAAGTTCAGTTAAAATCAGAACATCTACAGAGAAGAAATAATGTTGTTAGATAAAGATTAGCCTAACCTCACTTTGTTTATAAACAGAACTGGAAACTGTAAAAGCGACAGAAGATGAATAGTTGAATAATAATAATTTTTTGGAAATCATTTGGAAATAGTTGGAAGCCTATATCTAGTTTGGAAATCGACTCTTAATAATCATCAATAATTAACTTGCTTTAGTTGGCTAACCAATGCGTATGACAAAGCTAAACGCAACCGATAACCGATAAGTATGACAAAGACACAAATATGCTACCGTGACTCAATAAACCTTTTCACAAGTGGCTACAATTGCCATTGCATTTCTGATTGGTTTTTTAAAATCCAATACATTCATATTAAAAATTTGCAAGAATATGGCGGCGGGGGCGTGGATTACTTATTTATTCTGTATTCATAATATTAAAAATTTGCAAAGATATGGCGGCGAAACTTCTATTGTGGCGACTGTATGAAAAGGTTTATTGAGTCACTGTAAAATCTGCCCCGCAATTATTCCAGTGGCGCGTATATTAATTGATAGAAGCTTACTTTTCATGCATCCGTTTTTCCGTCAATCCATTGATCCGGAAGTATTTTTATTTGTCCAATATTTTGGCGCCAAAGTATTGGACCAATAGGAATAATCCCCGATCAACGGATTGACGGAAAAACGGATGCACGAAAATTAAGCTTTTAGGGAGGATTTTCATGCATCCGTTTTTCCGACGAAATATGTCCGTTTAACATTCTATTCTGACATAATCGTATATAAATATGTCAAAATAGAATGTTAAACGGACATATTTCGACGGAAAAACGGATGCATGAAAATCCTCCCTAAGAAGTAACATAATATGATGCGTTGCTGGTTTAAATATTGAATTTTGCTTTGAAAGTGGACTGTATTTTAACATGAAATCGTGAAAAGATTGGAGTCGAACAGCGCTCGTTTGGACTTACCGACATGGACACTTGTTGCTAACTGAAACTGAACTGAACTCTGAACGTGAACGGTGAACTGTCCACTGTCTTTTCTGTTCGTCGTTCGTCGTCTCCTTCTTCAACGTGAAGGCGATCAATAAACGGTACCATTTCGTAGTTCACAATGTTGCCACGTCTTCCAAATGTTTATGTTTAGCGCGGAAGATTTGAATGTTATTAAATTAATTTATTTAAGTACAGTTTGTTTTGACTAAATTATGATTTGTTTACAAATATATAGAACGACATAACACCCTAATCAATAGCTTTTATTTAATTTCCGCCTAGCCGTTATTGTATGTAATTTTGATCACAGACTATAGGTTTGCGTTAGTGAAATAACTCGCTTAGCTCTAGCAATCATTGCATGAAGTAAAAAGTAAAAGGAAAAAAAAAATGACGTCATCTTTTTTTCATCGATGTATCCACCATTAAGAGACAGTCATTCCGATTTTCTATCAACTAGACAAAGATAGGGTACATTCAGGCGGTCCCAGCGGCTTAGTTCAGCCACTCAGCAGGAACTATATTCTCGAAACAGGGGAGCAGCGTTCTCATTGGAACGAAGGTTCTGTCTTTGTCGTCCGGCATAATACTGACAATGACAGAGCAATAGTCCTAATGAGAACGCTACTGTTCCTTGGTTTCGAGAATAAAGTCCCTGCTGAGTGGCTGAGCTTAGCCGCTGGGACCGCCTGAATGTACCCATAGACTGCTCATTGCTGGATCTATCAGTGAAAAGAATGCGCTGGAATTGCGTTATTTGAAAACACACGGTGGCGCAATGGCATTATTACCAATTATACACTAGTCAAGTGACTCAATAACCTTGGTCAAGTTCAACAGTAGTTGTATTCCTTTCAAGAGCTTGAAACACTCGAGCTACTCGCTCCAGTGTTTAGTCGCCCCCGATTTGCAGGGAACAGATGCGTGGTGCAACAAACACTTTTCGAAAGGAATAAGCGCGTGAAGCCCCGGAGCTGTTCCGGAGCTCCTCTCACGTGTGAAAGGAATACAACTAATGGCGACAATAGACCTATCTATTTTACCAGACAAAGAGGTAATAATAAGAAAACTTCATTAGATAGAAAAAGACGCAGAACACTCATTGCGCAAGACGAGGAAAAAGGTACCAAATCATCATCGATTAAAGGCGATTAACTGGGTCCTTATTCTTGAAACAGGGGAGCAGCGTTCCCAGGAGAACGAGTGTTCCGTCTTTCTCAATGATATGCAAAGGATAATATAACTAACAAAGACAGAAAACTCGTTCTTCTGGGAACGTTACTCCCCTGTTTCAAGAATTAGGACCCTGGTCGCTCATAGTTGACAGATAACCAATGAAGCAAGCCACATTTGTCAACCAATCGGTATTAAATGACGTTAAATGCATTCTTCATCTGTCAATATAACTGACTGGTAAAGCGTGGTTCATATGGATGCGCATCACGAATTGCGAATCCGAATTTCATTGAAAAAAAATCCGCGCCTTTCAGCCCTTTCATATAGATGCGAACTTCGCAATCATTCTAGAAATACATACCTATTTACTTTATTTTTCGGTGCCATACTGGAGTTGACTAGAGTGTTGACACTAGTATATTTACATGTTTTCTTTGGTTGATAACCTTAAATATTTGTATTTGTTGTTTTTGTTGGTTCTTATTGTTTGTTGCAATTCGCAAGAATTAAATTTAGTTGCCTAAATAAAACAGCAAAGAGCATATAATAAGTGCAATAAATGATACTTTCAGAAAAAAATAATTAATGCAATTACTATGGAAAATATTGTAATAAAGAATAAATAAAAGGAACAGCAAGTCACAAAAAACTGAACTACAAAAATTACAAAGACTAAAGTGACTAGACAAAAGAAAAGAATCCTAAATGAAATGGCCAAAGCCGAAACGTAAACAAAACAACCGGAGGAGCAGAAGACAACAACATTTTTGAAATACGCATGCTCTGACATAAAATCGGCAACGAATATCGCAAAATATTAAACCAATTCCAATTGCCCGCCTGCTTAATTTCAAATTTTGCGAATTCGCAAAATATTGAACTTTGACAGATGTCACTTTTCTTGATAGGAGCGGCCTCCGCAATTCGCAATTCGTGATTCGCATCTATATGAACTACACTTTAATCGCCTTTAATTGACTCATGTTAGACTTACGTTCCGCAATCCGTTCTCATTACTTGCACGGGATAAAAAGGGAAAGAGGAAGACCGCGTGTCGTGCAACGTATTTGTCAATCCTGTTATGACTTTACTTCAAAAAGTTGGAGCTTCAAGACTAAAAACGACTACTGGCAACGCCGATTTTGTAAGATGTGGAACACACGCTGCAATCGATTGGCATGTCAACGCGTCCATCAAAATTATATCATATGAGTTAGAGGCAGGCAGATAGATAAAGGAGTTGCACGCCTGCGAATTCGGAAAATATTGAACTTTGACAGATGTCACTTCTCTTGACAGTGGACTGCTAAACTACACTTTAATCGCCTTCAATTGACTCATGTTAGACTTACTTTCCGCAATCCGTTGTTATTACTTGCATGGGATAAAAAGGGGAAGAGGAAGACCGCGTGACGTACAACGTATTTGTCAATCAAAAGAGGTTTTCGAGCGCTTGACAGGTAAATACCATTCACTGTCAGTATTTACCAATTTGATTCAAGCGGTTTGGTCATTCGTGGTCATGACGTAAAAACGAGCCCTGAGATTATTCTTTGACATTGACAACCAGCGGTATTTACACAACTTTCTACCTGCTGCCGGATTCTATTTCACAAGTCGATTCGAAATTCGTATCGAATTGTCAAAATAGCGATTCTATTTTTCGATTTTTTGATACGTATTTCACACGGTACGTCCGGAGCTGTCGTATTCGATATCGAGTGTCAACAGACCAATCCGACTTGACTGGTTAAATAGAATCTGGCCCCTGTTTTTCACCTCCCATCATTTCTGTTGATGACAATTAATTGACATACATATTTTCGAAAAATTAATGGTGAACGTTTTTTTTTTTTTTTAATTTGCATTTGCGGTTGTTTAGTTCCAATTTCAAGATTTTAAATTTGTAATTCAAATATCATCATGGATAGAGACCTATAGAGACAGGTTTCAAATCCTCTTGAATTATGAGGGAAAAGATATTCAAGTGATCGTTATGACGACATGGATACAGCCCAAGTCAGAAACTAACAAAGAACTATATAAAAAATCCAGAACCATATTTGAAGAAATAAAATGATGATGGTGGCCTAAAGGCGAAACATCGGATTTCAAATTTTATAATCCCATATTGTAGAGGAATAAGTGGCAATGATGAAGTGTCATTTATTTTAAAGTAGGTATCTCTTCAAATACGCTGAGGAAAAAATAGATACGATTTTGCAAAATTTCGTTTTTTTTTTCCCAAAATCTCCGGAAGTATTTGGAATTTTCTAAATTTTGAAACGGCATTTTGGCGACGTTGAAAATGTACCTAATTCAAGTTGAGATCAATCTGAAAGATTAATAAAATATGAAAAGCATCTATAAATTGGCTTTCCAATAGAAAAAAAAAACACATTAAAAGTTTCAAATGTCCAAAAAATCTCGTAAAACCGACGTGCTCTGTACTATCACATATAGAACAAGTCCTAAAAGCAACGTGACAAGTTACGTCTTTTATTGGTAGAATGACGCCTCAGACTATGACGAAAAAAATACGTCAAATTGATGTCAGCTTGGGTACCTTATACAGGGTCCCAACTATTTCATAGGGACAGCATTTATTGCTATTTCGGGAACGGTTAAAGTTACGAGGGGGTTTAAATTAGGAAAAAGTTGCCATTTTCGAAGAATGTTAAAAATATAATAATTTTGAATTTGAACTGTCTCTAAAATCAATAGATTGTAAAATATTTGATAAAATTATTTTTGCTAATTTTCGAATAATTTGCGAAACTAATAGAAATTTGGCAACAACGAAAATATATTTCTAATAGTCTTCAAAAATGGCAACTTTTTTTTAATTTAAACGCCCTCATAACTTTAACCATTCTCGAGATAGCAATACTGTCCCTATGAAATAGTTGGGACCCTGTATACTGTTTTATCCATATTTAATTATTTTTTATTTTTACTTGACTGTGTATGTGTATGTATGTATATGTGTGTATTTATATGCATAATATCGTATAAGTACCTATATACTTATGGATGATTCATGTGAGTATTTTGGACAATAAAGTATGTTTTGATTTTGATTTTTTTTTCCTCTGAAAACTTCAGGGTGTCAAAAAAAGATAGCAAACCGAAAAAAAAAAAAAAAAAAATACAAACCTTGCGTCGTCCGGATCGCTGACCTTCGCTCTCAGATCGTTTTCCCTCGTCGCCAGAATCCATATTTTCTTGTTTATCCATTTTCACCTCCTGTTGATGAGCTGCAGCTTGCATCTTGGCAATCATCCTCTTTTTCGGTTTGACCGCATTTTGACCAGCTCCTGTGTCAATTTGAACGAGCGGTTTGCTACTTCCTGACTTCGCTCGCTTGCGTTTAGGCTTTAGTTTCGCATCGCATGGGCCAAGCAGAAAGTTACCATTTTCCAATTTAATCAAATTTCCCCTCTCGACTTCTTTAACCAGTAATATAGCAACGTAATTTCGCGTATAGCGTACGCTGTCCTTTGATAAAATGTGTGTCATGATTTCTGTAGGCGGTACCCCGATTTCCAAATAATCCGGTTCCTGCATCACAAGCTCCCCAAATATATTTGTTAACATTTCCATAAAATTTCTGCTAATCGCTAGTTTGCTTAGAGCATTTCTGCCCTTGTGAGTGGTCTGTTGCGCTTCGCGCTTACGAATTTGTGCCCATTTTTTAGCCGCATTCCTGTAGCTGATATTGCCCTTGTACTCGACCTTTAGGACTATATTGTTGGCGACGCACCATTCCAGATCGGCCCTAGCTTCCGCGGAATTCACGTGGAATCGACGAAACAAATAGTTGCAGATCCTAGCGATATCTGGTCGTGCTTTGCGGTTTCGCAGCTGGTCGATCGCCTCGAGAATTCGTTCACGATTTCGTGAAGTTGGATAGTCCATTTTGAATTCTGGAAAATAATTTTTTTTATATTAGATTATCTATCAATATGGCCATTAAGTCAAATTCAAAATCAAGAAAGCTTTATTTTCCCACAAAGAAAAATTCGCAATGCTCAACAGGAAATAGAGGAAATACTTTTAAAAGTGAATCGGTCAGAAAACAATCACATTGTTATTTCAGTCCTCAAGTGTAAATAAAAACGATTGAATGGCAAAGATTATATGAAAGACAACTGAGGCGAATCGGAATTTGCCTGATAATATTCTGCAAGCCAAGATTTTTTTGTTTTGTTGACACTTTTTATTCTCAAATATGTGGCGTATTCTCAGAGGCAGATTATTTCAAAGTTGTTGACGACTATTGAATGAAAGAAATAGGTATCTTTGGTAGGGTCCACCAAACATAAAATGGTACACGCACGTGTTTCGCCGCAAGTTGCGCATTGGTATGTCCATCACGGTTGCCATAACAACGTCGAGTAGTTGGGTCATTTCAGTAGCCTACTTAAATCAGATCTACTTCAAAACCAAATAAAAATTATCAAATAATAAGTTTGCCCGCTGGCTTCGACGTCAGAACTCTGCGCAGACACGTGCGTGTACCATTCTTAAGTTTGGTTTGGTATGGTGGACCCTACGTACGTACTCCAATTATCATTCTTGTCATGTAAAAGAATATTCTAGAATGAAGAGTGCCAGTAATGGGCTCTTGCACTAATTTCTGAGATTACCATAATTGGATAAAGCAACTAAAAATAGGATTTTCTGCACCCTTAGTTTTGAAAAACTTGGAGTCCTTGTTGAGAAAATAAATAAAAAAGAAAACTCTCCAAATAAAAACACGGAATTTATCTGCATTACGTCACAACTTGATTTTTGACAGTGTTGCCTCATTGTCAGCACTGAAAATTTGAAATATATTTATATTTCTAAAATGTTGGCAAAATACCAAGAAAAACTACTTAGGGATTCAAGAGTTCATACATTTTTTTTGAAATCATTATCATACACAATTAAAATATATTTTTGTAATCAGTTTTAATTTTTTTTCTCACGGACGCACTACATTTATTCACAACTGGCAACAGCGCAATCAAAGCTTTAAAGGGGGTGTGACCCAAACATGAAAGTTTTAATGCGTGGGTACGGTTCACTGACGACTGAACGAACAGAAGACTGCGATTTCGGCGGTTGTGACATCACAAGTTCCTGCATAATTTATCTTCACAACGAGAATATTTTGAATATAGGACTGCGGTTTTCACGAGAAGAAAGAAATTTTTTTCTTGATTTAAATAGCCTAAGTCGTTTTTTAATGGGCACACCCCCTTCAAGCCAGGGGCCACCGGAACAGCTGTACGTGCTTTGTCGATGGAGTCTTCTTGAATTTGATTGGTAGAAGATGCTCATATCACTTACCTCATCGTTTGGCGCGTTCTTAAGATTTTTACTTTTGAAGTGCCTGTAGAAAACTCATTTAGGCTCATTTTTTTTGGCAAATTTACCTAAAATAGTCCCTCATTTAAGGTTTTATGCGTAAATTACGTACCTATAGGTATTTAAATTCTAGTGAAAGTGCGCATTTCTCCGACACCTTTTTTCTCTTGGATATAATAATGTCACAATAATTACAGCACAAGTTTACATGCATCCAAATTCCAAAATGACGTGTTCTATCTTCGTATACCATCCATGGTCTCTGAACATTCTGTTTAATAAATCCTGATTTTTAAACTCTCCGTCACCGTTCGTCGATACTGTATTTACCCATTAATTCACGAGCATTTATAAACTCTAGACCGCTGCCGTTCCCAAGTACCCGGCACTGTCAAAATTATTTGTGTGGTTTTGCTCTTTATATTTATGTTTTATGTGTTTGGTTGAAATGATAAATCAACAATCCTACACGTGTCAAATCTTTGCAATAATTGAAAAATATTTAACATAAGGTTTCACTTCACCTGTCATAAACGGCTAGACGTAGGATTATGATTCAAGGTTACTGTTGAGTGCAGCATTGTCATATTTACGTTTTTCCCTAAGTTGGGGGAATTATGCACAATCGTTGACTAGAATTTTGCATTTGAATAGATATCAAATGTAACTGTCAAAAAAAGTCGTCTAATTCATCAGGTAACAAAATATTTATTAAATAAGTCTGATGAAACATAAAAACAATTCATAAATACATTGTTAGAAGTCCAGGTGGAGCTTGACAGAGCCCTACCCTACCTGTTTGTTAATATTTTGCATAATTTATGGTTGTACCTTCTTTTACAACTTGGTATGGGAAGACACTTGTTTGTTACTACGCCACCAGGCTTAACCTTGCTTTAGCCCAGTCAAATTAGAACTTTGCTGCTTATTTCGGAAAAATAAGTTGAATTTTGGTGCGAAAAGCTTCAATTTGCTCCTATAATGGCCAGATAATCTAATGCGGTATTGGATGCTATTAATTGGGCTTCGTAGGACTTTTCGGGTGAAAAAAATTATATGGAAATAGACTTAAGAAAAGAGAAAAATCGTCGTCGTAGAATTTCCCTCATATCAACATCTTTCAAAGGCACGTAAATTCCTTCTGCTGACAAGCGTAATGATGAGTAGGGGAAAGCGGTGTAATACCGCGCACCTGAGAGGAAACCGCGTATAGTATAACCATTAACAATTGAGAATCGCATCTCTATGGTGACTACTCAAAATTAGAAAAATACCCCTTATAATAATATAAAATAATTTTTATATTTTTATGCCAAGTCCTGGTACACTATAACAAAGACGCCGCACGCCGGCAAAAAAACTTGAAAATTGTTGGCGATGCCGCTAGGCTTTGTCGCTTGCCGACAAAGCTAAGCCGCTCTTGTTGACAGTGTGAGATATTCTCTTTAGAAGTGGACAAAAGTATAAAATTACACAGATAATTGAATAAAAATCAATTTTTAATAAAGGAATAATAGTCCCATTCAAATATTTATATTTGATTTATTTCAATAGTTTAAAACGGAATTTTAAGGATTACCTACTATATGAATTTTGCCCATTTATTTAACGTATTAACTCCACTGTATTCTAGAGGTAAATCAGCTAGAATTTCGGGGCAATGGCGTTCGTCATTTCAGTTTTTATAGAAATATCTGGAGTATGTTTATTCTTTATTAACCAATTTGTTTTCATTTGTCATGATAATAATATTTAGACGCCTATGGATTCCCACGTGACTTCAAAGAGATCAACTGAGCCGCCTTTTTTATGAAATTTCAATTAATAATGGTTAAACTTTACCTAGATTTTTATTTTTCTTACTAAATGTTTGGTAATGGTAACTTGAGAAATATTATTATAGATACATCTTTAGACTATTATATATGCGGGTTAATAAAATAAAATACTGGAGCACTTGAAAAAACTTGAATTTATGTAAAAGTGCATCCCAGCCAAAATGGGGTAATATTTTACAAACATCAGGAGGCAGAGAAATGCCACGCAAGATGCTTCAGGTCGAGTAAAAGTTCGGAAAAGAAAATCTATAATGAAAAGTAGGTATAGGTAACTATTGAAATCATCAACATCACGGCATTTGGATTTATGTGCGGCGACACCGCACACCTTATCATTAAAATCTATGTGGGACAATACCACGCACCGCTTGGGCTTATTTATACAGGAAATAAAATAAAATAAAATTGAAAAATTGCCTCACCGCCACGGTGACGTTTATACACAAAAATAAAGTAAGATAAGAAATGAGCAGAAATGAAAAGAAACTTTCAACTTCTTATTTTATTTCAAGTGAAAATGCTTTTTGCGCATGTTACGACGTCAATCCGATTAGACAGATGAGAGTTCAGGCGTGCGGTAATTGACACGAAACAATTCGAATTTTATATTATATTTCTCCTGTATAGACGCCTTCTCCTTATTTATCTCATTTCCTAAGTTATTTCTTATTTTATTTTATTCTAAATATTTCCTGTATGAACAAGGCTGTAGTTTTTCGTTTTATCAAAGCAGCCGCATAACATCCTCTTTTAAATTTAAAAGCGTTTTTAAAACTTAATTAAAATTGACAGCTTTCAAAGTCGATTTTAAAGTTAAGAGAAGATGTTGTATACCGCTGTAAATGTTCAGTAAAGCAAGCCCTAATAGAGAGATATCGGTAACCCAAATAGTGTCATGCAGTATTAGCGCCTACGTTATTTTGACATTAAATCTATGCGCGATTCGATTTTTAACACTACGTACTAAAATAACGTTACCGCATAACGTAATTTACCCAGCATTTACGTTAAGCGCTATTTCGAATAACGTCTAAAAATAACGCCGTCGAATAATAGGTTATGTTATGTTTATTGTTTATTTTATTATTTTTGTTGTGTTCAAGTGAATATGGATTGTTCAAAAAATGGTAAAAAAGCAAATCCTCTGTCCCTGACCATGAACAACAGACAACACAAATCAAATCACAGCAAGGTACAAGTTAGGCTACGGTTATAAAATAACGTATGCGAACAGGCAAATTTTACGTTAAACTGTTTACCGATAACTCTAATTTGAAAGTATGATACCGCTTTACTTTAAAAAAATAACTCCTGACGTTATTACCGTCCATACGCGCTATCTGTTTTACCGATATCTCTCTAATATCAAAAATATGTGTAACATGCTTAATTTTGAAATTTACCTCTTCTATTTTCAGGGAGCATAAAATTAGAGCTTATTCATGTCCAAGGAAACTCACTTTCCACTCTGCTGCTCCTTTGATTGAACTATTGTGGCGTAGTTGCCACGTCTACAAAATAACGTTGATGGACATGCCTACCTATTTCCATTTTCCGAGTTTTAAATCATGTTTTTATTTTCATGCGGTCTATAATTAGACTTTATTGTCGTCACAGTTGACAGTGATCCATAGCCTACTTACTTGCATGTTAGGAACTAAACAACTGAACTCGGATAAACGATATACGTTCCAAGTATCGTCCAAGTGCGGCGCGCGCAGCGTTCAAGGGAACTTGATCTAAGTTCACTTGGACCGCTTTAGCCTTTTATTATTCCAAAAATGAATGAATAAAAAAGGAGCGATATAGTTGTGAAAGGAAACATTCCTTCGAAAATAAAATGTAGTATGCCATTCCGGTCAGAAGGCCTTTTTGTGCTTTGTTCGACGTTCGATTGTAGACATCTTGACTTGAACTAAGCTCAAAAACACTCACTTCTTGGCCTAATGACATAAATAACTATGTTGGCTGCGCGGTCTCAAGTGCTCCGCTGCGCAGTATTAAGGACCCTGGGCTGGGAATCTGTAACGAATGGAGATATTTTCTCTATTGGCGTCCCCTCTCTATTGATTTCGAAAAGAGAGAAGGTGCCATAGCGATGGGGATAACGATCTCTATCCGTTACAGACTCCCAGCTCTGCTATCCTATGGTCAAATAATAAAAAATCGCATTTGGAGAGTACTGAAGCAAATTATCAACGAAATGATTTCACTAACTAACCCTCCCCTTTGGGAACTCCAACAAAGCACCACATACTTTGCTTTTCGTTTTCAAGTCGAGCCAATTTTCATCAAAAATCGATTTAAACTTTCAAGCATATCATCTGACATTAATTTCTATTTCGGGTCATGTTGTAACTTTATATTGTCTCTACTCTAGAGTTGCCAGCAATGGTAGCCATAGATAATTGCATTACCTTTACATTAATGGCGTGGGCACATGTTAATTACCTATTGCAATAATATTGTTTACCACGACACGAATGATATGGTATAGTTTTAGATGCTACCGTTATCAAAATTAAAGCGCTATCGTATTTTAAAACAGTTAAAATTATTTGATGAGTCAGACAATTCTTCGACGGCATGTTTTTAAAAAAATATGTCCCCCGTTTTTATAGTAATCTTGTTTATAATGCGATTTCTAACGAATAAACCAATTAGGGAATTCAAAGCACAAGATCTTGCAATTCAGACATCATATTGATTTTTTTTGAAAGGCTGTTACGTAGGTATAACAAACAATGTCAGATTGCCTTGATACAAGGACCGAGTTCTGAAAATAGCTCTAGACAAAGACAAGGGCATTACAACTCCAAAGAGACAAAATGTTTCGACTCATAAATCCCATAGAAGTTCGGCTTTTATTGTTTTGGAAGAATTAATTTGTGAGTCCGATTTCATTCAAATGATCCACTTTGCACAAACTCCATATTTTGAACCAATCTTTCCTAATATTTTTCATAAACAAATGATACCGGCTAACACGTAATTATGAGCAAAAAAGGAGAGATCACTATCAAGTGGAAGCAAATTTTGACAGTTCTGTCCCGTGTTTAACGTATACAAATTCAAATTGAAGTCACGTGTATGTAAATTGTCGCATCTAGCTCCGATGTCATATTACGAGCTCGGCCAGATTCATAATCTCGCCAAAAAGGACAAGCATAGAAGTAAACACACAATTACTATGTTTTTTGTTTATTTGTTTGCCAACCGGGCGCCACTTTTGACACTGCCGAAAAGTATTAAGATGGTTTTACATGCTTCAAATCAGTGCAAATAAGGCACGCGCAGCACATTTGGTAATTTTTGTCATGCCAACTTTCATTAAAAGTTACTAGGTCATTAAAATTATGTTTATTTTCATAATGAGAATGTGACATTGTGTTTCAATCAATTTCAATTAATGTTTAATTATACAATACAATGAAGTTAATTTCATATACAGACAACAAAAATAAACAAATACATACCGACAAAACCTGGTTTTTCCTTTTTTTTTTATGTTGGTAGTAAGAAAGCAGTAGACCTATCTCGTATATAGAAAGAGTGAGCATTATAGAGGGTCGCCAACGGTATGAAGTGAATAAAATGTGGAATGCGTGCGCAACTAGGGGACTTGGTTACATATTCAACAGTCGGTGTAAAACCCCCTTTAGTGCGCAAATGTCTAATGCCATCATTACTTTACATAGATATCAGTAGGCCTATAAGTTTTATAATTTCTTCAAACTTTAAAACGAGACAATAAGAGAAACATTTCCTTATAAAACCGCTATCAATATCAGTTCAAATAAAATCGTAAGCTTTGAGCCCAAAATCGGCCAATAGAAGTCGACTACAGAATCACGCGCATGCGTAAAAATGACAATGATAACACACACTTTAAGTTGGACCAAACACGTTAACGTAATTTTTAAACGTAAACCCTATTTTTACTATAACGCCGAGTGACCGTCGGTCGGTACTCATAAATCAGTTTTAAGTTAAATTTTCACGCAAACGTTAACGTTATATCTCTCAATCATGACCTAACCTCTAAATTTTGTTGTGAAAAGGACAAATTCAAAATTATTTTTTGTATTTTGATTATTTTAAATTACATGTCAACTTTTTCTAAGGGTAAAAAAAAAAACAATCGGCAATTGTCGACACCGGCAATCTGGCTTTCGGGCCTACTCGGTTTAGCGAACGTTTACGGATAAGGTGCACGCAAAGACCCGCTAAATAACGTAACATGTAACACGCTATTTTTGGTGAAAAGAAACTGCGCATGCGCACCTGTCAAATCCTACGTTAGCGTTAACGTCTTTGTCTAACTTAAAGTGTCTAATAAGGCAAGATTCCACATGGGAATAGACACTTTAAGTTGGACCAAATACGTTAACGTAATCTTTAAACGTAAACCCTATTTTTTACTATAGCGTCGAGTGACCGTCGGTGCACACAAATCAGTTTAAGTTAAATTTTCACGTAAACGTTAACGTTATATCTCACAATCATGACCTAACCTCTAAATTTTGTTGTGAAAAGGATAAATTGAAAATAATTTTTTGTATATTGATTATTTTGAATTACAGGACTACTTTTTTTTAAGGTTAAAATACATTCGGCAAAGGTCGACACCGGCAATCTAGCTTTCGGGCCTTCTCGGTTTAATGAACGTTTACGGATAAGGTACACGCAAAGACCTGCTAAATAACGTGACACGTACACGCTATTTTTGGTGGAAAGAAACTGCGCAGGCGCAGCTGTCAAATCTTACGTTAGCGTTAACGTATTTTGTCTAACTTAAAGTGTCTATTAGTGGTCACACATTCAGGTTCTGTAGCTGATAACTGACAATCCACCTTAATCGGCGGTGTATTTATTCAAGGCCAAATACGCGGCTATTTCCATAATACGCACTTCTTCATGTAGTGACTACGTGTGAAAATGATTTACAACAAAGCGCGAATCTGAAAAAGGTTTTGTAAAATTGAAAACAGGACATTACATACCAACCGATTCAAGTCGCAGATTCCAAAGTAGGTATTATTTTTATTTAGACGAGGAGCCATACAATTTAGCTGTGCGCTGTGCCCACTAATTTAATTATCACTATCCGATTTGAATTATTTGTAACTTGCATAGAGTGTAGTTTTTTTTTTAAAATTAAGTATGCATTTATTTAAATATGATTAATTTGTGAACGAATAGCGGACAAAAACTAATAATCAGTAGTTGCGATTGCCATATGACGAGTTGCGCGTAGACGGGGAGCGCTTTTGTCCGTGCCTCCAACAATTTTAATCTTATCTAACTTTCCTAATAAATTTAACTTTAAACGAGCTTAATCAAATTAGAAATTGCGGAAAACTAGAAATGATAACTATTAGACAAGGTCCTTTCAATATTTCAGCAAGGCATGCAGGCAAGATGATAGATAATGCGAAATAAAAGATGTTCTGGCGGCGCAAAGGCGCGCAGAAAAGAAGACGGCATGCGGTGCGAGATGCGACTTGATTTTTACCTGTTTTAAAGTGTTAAATCCGTGTTGAATTGCCTCCGAATTGAGCACTACGGTTGCACACTAAAGTTGCGGATCGATTAAACCACTTTTCAGGATCGTCCGTCAACTAAAAGCATAGAGAAACCGTTGAAAATTGAGCGGCTTTTTCACAAACAAACGATGCGCTTGTGTATCATATCACGAAAACTGCCTATAGCCAGCAGTGGCAGCAGAGGAGCCGGCCTGGCCTACACGGGTTTGGTTGGTTTTGCTTTCTGTGTTGCGACAAGGCCCGTATTCCAAAATTCGTACATAAAGAATGCGCAAGCGCTTTTCACCTCACCGGACAAGAAGTAAAAAATGTGAAATGCGAGACCCTGAAAAATTTGATCTGTTTGTACTTTTCCCGCGTCGCCTTTCAATGATTAATTAATTGAAACTCTCCTCCGCTAACTACAACATTGTAGCATTTCTTGTCCGCGACCAGAAATTTGATAAATAAAAGAGCGCTCCCTCAAATACAATTCCTACGCCTTCCTTTTGCTTTTACCTCGATATTTGCTTTATTAACCCTCAGGTAAAATAATCGTGGGCAATATTTTATACTTTGATGAAAGCAAAAATTCAATTTGTTCAACAGGTGGACCCGCCTAGGGTTCATACGGAAACTTTACCAGCCGGCCTGTACAGAAGTCGATCACAATCCAGGACCGGTCCGGAAGGCAAACGACAAGGGCGAGATTTTAATTCTAATAAACTGCCTTTCAATTATGAAATCACAACATCTTTAAATAGGATATGGTCACATACACTCCTACAATTTTGATACTTATTCGAAGAAAATTTGAATAATAAAATAATGAGTAGAAAATTACATAACGTCAGTGAAGGGTGATATGTGAGCCCAATTATACTATGTTGCAGGGGAAGCAAGTGTCTCACAGAGATTGTTTCTTATTTCGAAAAAACACCTTAAAGTACTTTAACCAACAAGTTTTTGTGTTGCTTTCGAGTTGTTTGATCAAAAATTTTGGTTCTTGTGGATTCCGATACTTGTTTGTTTATACCTATAAAGGTATATTTTTTTTGTAGAAACATTGTGTAGGTATAGGTAGTTACGAAAACTGATTGCATGAAAGTATTTATTGAATAAAATAATAACTTCGGTAAAGGAGCTCTTACGCAGTTAAGTTTCCGTCCAGGAATATTGTAAGTAGTAAGAGGCAGTTTTCAGATTGTTTAAACTTTATTCATATATGTATTTCTAAATAAAATGCCCACCTTTCGATGCATCCGCATCGCTCAAGGCTAAAAAAACACAATGAATCATGAATTTTACAAAAAATAAAGTTTAAGGTTACCTACCGTAAGTAAAATACACATTGCATATTTAGGGTATTTTGGATTCTTTTGTATATGTTACCTAAGAAATAGTGCAGCGATATCTATCTTATAATAATATTGACAGTATAAGTATAATATGATCTGCAAGGATCTCTGGGAATTGACCCACATAGAAATCTTATTCCTCGCTTTTGTAGAATGAAAACTATCCACGTGGCACATGGGAATCGATCTGTGCGAAATATACATTCGTCAAAGTTGACTCATCTACCTCCCTAGAGTCTTTACAACCCTTATTAAGGCGGTATTATAAAACTATTTTGACAGATAACCAACAGTTAACTTCAGGAATTAATATTAAAAAGTAATCATTCCAATAGGTTTAGGTCTGTTTCTGCAGAAATCACAATCCAGTCAGAGTGAATTTCATTGGTTGAAACTAGTTTTCTGACTGTTTCTGACTGTTTTCAACCAATGAAATTCGCTCTGACTGGTTTGTGATTTCTGCAGAAACAGACCTTTTATAATACCCACCCTTATTGTCAATGTCAGTATGATCTTGTGGAACATAACCTAAGGCTTCTACCTAACAAGGAATTGACCAATCAAACTAATTACAATAATAGAAAGGATATTGAACAATTATTTAAACTATTTTCAAAATAATGTTTTCTATAAAAAAGAAGCTAAGCATTTGAAGTAATAGAATAAGTCCAGCATGCTTATCTCTCTCAGTATTATAATTTGAAAACTATCTGAATTTGATACTGGTCAAAATATTACCGGCAAAATGTTGTCACTAGTACAAAATAAAATGAAACTATCCGATACAGGCCTGGTTTATTCATCTTCAGATAAACTTGCTGGTAATCTATCTGCAAGATGAATTCACCTATGTATAATCCTATTGGGCGACAGATAACTGGATGACCAACGGGATTACAGATTACGTTTTCATTCGCCAGTAATATAATACTCACAGTTTATTAGAAGGTGAACAAACCGGCCCAGAAAAAAAATATATTGAATTACATTGAATTTTACCACCTTATCCTCCTAATGGTTAAACCTTTCATTTGTAGGTCATTCACTCATCAATTGGGTGTTAATGCATACTAATCGCCTATATTGATGTAAAAAATTAATAGAGTGAAAGAACTTCCGCCCCATCTGATAATGCAACAACCCTTAAATGTGGAGGTGAAGAACCAATCCACCAAAGCCACAACAAAATATAAGAAATTTGCAGAACTTGCATTATCCGACCAGTTATCTGAGAAAAGTATAATTGACGGACTGCGCGGTACATTGGGCCAAGTTGAATGCATTTGGAGATATTTGACATATTAAAGACTAAAAGACTTCGAAAAGGTAAGTAACTGTTTTGCATATTATAGGTAGGTACCTACCTCTGTTTGTTTCAAAGAATATAATATATTTTAGGACTTGAAAATACGTGCTGAAAATTCAATAAAATTCTACAAACTGGAAGTTTAATATTCCGTGGTGAAAATTCAAAAAACACCTGCACTACGAATGAATACGCCCTATTTTCGACATAGGTAATAGACCGTCAGCTAATGACAGATTTTGCTGACCGATTTTCTCTCTTCGGGGATTTCAACCACTGAAAATAATGACAGTGCTTAGCTCAAAAAATGAAAATTCAGCGACCGGACGTCTGCTAGGCATATGAAAAATTTATTTTCCTGTTGCAGAAAAAAATAGGTTATTTTTTCAATTTTTCTTTCATGTCATTTTAACACATTAATCTTAAAGAACAATCTAATAATGAAAAACCAAAGCCATAAGGTTTGCACGTACTGGAAGGGTTGAAATAAGGGTGCGATCTTGTGGAAGCATATACGGTTGCTGATCGTTTTCTCGCTTATGGCAATCGACAGAATTAAATTTGATATCGTTAGGAACCAGAAAAAAAAATCCCATAAGCCGGTCAGTTGTTGAAGTAGGTATATTTTACGACCGCTACAAAAGGAAAGTAGAATTTCCATATGCCTAGCAGACGTCCGGTCGCTGAATGTTCATTTTTTGAGCTCAGCATTGATATAATTTTCAGTGGTTGAAATCCCCGGAGTAGGGCTCGGAATTTTTAAAATTCAAGTATTCGAATAGTCGTTTGGTATTTTATTCGAATAGTCGAATAATTCGAATAGTCGAATATTCGGATACCTATTCGAATAGTCGAATATTCGAATAGTCGAATATTCGAATAGTCGAATAGTCAAATATTCGAATAGTCGAATAGTCGAATAGTCGAATATTCGAATAGTCGAATATTCGTATATTCGAATAGCCGAATAGTCGAATAGTCGAATATTCGAATATGTAGTCAAAAAGTCGAATATTCGAATAGTCTAATATTCCAATAGTCAAATATTCCGATAATCATTTAGATTAGTTAGTTTGTACTTCGTCGTACGGTTAGTAGTGGTCTATTTTTAATTAAATACCGGTAACCCGGTAACCGGAATAGTCGTTTAGGTAACTATTGAAAATCTGAACATTATTTTATTCAAATTTGTAATGTATAGGTTTTTTTTTAAGTGGGCTGGCAGGTACCTACTAGGTAGATAGTCCAATCTTCAAATAGTCGAAAAGTCGAATATTCGAATATTCAAATAGTCGAATATTCGAATAGTCGAATAATCGAATATTCGAATAGTCGAATAATCGAATGTTCGAATAGTCGAATAATCGAATATACGAATAGTCGAATAATCGGATATTTGAATAGTCGAATAGTCGAATAATCGAATATTCGAATATTCGAATAGTCGAATTTTCTAACTAACAAAAAATTCGAATTTAGAATAGTCGAATAGTCGACTATTCGAATTATTCGAATACAATTCCGAGCCCTACCTGAGAGAGAAAATCGGTCAGCAAAATCTGTCGTTAGCTGACGGTCTATAAAGATTTTGAAGAGGCTAAGCGGAAGGCCATAGCGCAAAGCTTCGTACTACTGGATATTGTATAATGATGAAAAATGAAAATTAAAATTTGAAATTCTGATAATTAGATTACTTTCCATTTAAAATACACACATCAAAATAGTCTAGGGAACAAGTAATACCTATACTCATCAGAAAAAGGAATACAAAAACTTGCAATACTATTTTATTATTTTACATAAATATATGAATAAGTAGGTACTAAGTAAATAAATGAACAAATACTAAACATAAAATATTTAAATTCGGATTAAAAAGCACATAGTTATACATAATTAGATGCAATGCCGTTAAAAGTACCGTAATCCGGGGCTATTTGGTCACCCCGGGGAAACTTGGTCACTTATGACATAGTTTTTTTTTTCTATATTTTTTGTATTATTTTTTTTTGAAGTGTTTTAGGTCCCTGTCCTTTGTTTCAGATAAGAGCTAACTGAAAATGGTGCGGGAGTACCAGAGAACACCTGGATCCAGGTCCTACCAGGACTATCCAAAAGAAAATTTAGAAAATGCTATCGATGCCGTTAGGGGAGGGATGCCGAAGAAACTAGTGGCCGAAACCTATCAGGTACCTACCTCGAACAACACTTACTAGGAAAATTCTTGGAAAGAATCTTGGGCCAGTAGGCCATCCAAGAGTTCTTTCCAGGGAGGAGGAGACTAGTATTGCGGAGACACTTGGAGTGGTTGCAGAATGGGGTTTCCCGTTAACCAGGTTGGATGTGAGGAGTGTTATCGCAAAATACCTTGACAAACAAGGAAAACAAGTTGAGGTATTCAAAGAAAATATTCCCGGGGAAGTTTTTCTGGATACATTCATAAAGAGAAACAATCTCTCCATCCGCCTTGCATCAAATATAAGAAGATCGAGATCCACTGTCGACCGTGAAGACATTTTAAATTTTTTCGCCAATATCAATGACGCTCTGAATAATA